TTTTTTTTTTTTTTTTTTTTTTTTTTTTTTTGTGGTACCAGAGATTTAGCTTGGAACCTTGTGCTTGCAAAGCAGGCAGCAGAACAACCCGCTGGCTAAATCCCTGGCTCAGAAATCTATACACTCTTGTCTGCAGTGGTCGTCATTTTTCATGACAAAGGACAGAGGGAGCATAAGCTTCCAAAGAAGCTTAGGTCTGGCTTTTCTCAGAATGTCTTATAACCAGTGGGTACTCAATAAATTTTTTTTTTTGGTGGTAGTATTAGATACAACCCAGGGACTCCACACTGAAATGTACCCTCAGCTCTTTTTATTTTTTCATTTTGAAACAGAGCCTCACTAAATTATGAAGTTGCCCATGCTGGGCTTGAACTTATTTTTGTTTTTGATCCTCCTTCCTCAGCCTCCAGGGTGCTGGGATAGTAGTTGTGCACCCACCAACCGTTTAGTGACGCTGAGTGACTGGTTCATTGTGTGCACACTTTCCAACCAAAGGATGAAGTGTGTTCTAAAGCCTAGTACTTTAATGTAGGAGGCATTGTGGAAGAGAATCCACTAGATTAAGAATCAAAACACGTTCATTTAAATTCTACTTCTCTTAATTTAGCTTTGTAATTTTGGACAAACCATCACATCTTTTCTTAGTTTTCTCAAATATAAAGTGAAAGAACTGAGCAAGAGTAATTAGATATCTCTTGAGGTTTTTCTTCTAAACTGTGGTATAAACTTTTAACATCCAGCCTTCACTTAACCTTTGCACGTTCACAGCCCCCTCCATCACTGAACCCACCACCTGGTCCCGTCGGTTAGGAGTGCTCGTTAGTACACCCACGCTGTCTGCTCCTGCTAGTTTAAGTCACTGCCTTCTGGAAGTCAGTGGTGTTTATCCAAAACCTGTTTATACTGGTTTTCTTGATATGGTATTTATATAATTAAATTAAATGTTATATTAGCCAGTGAAGTCAGAGTATAAAAATAGTTGTTTTAATGAGAACTAAGATTTGAAAAGCTAAACAATTTAACTGAAACATGACTTCCTAAAAAATATATCTTGTTAGGATAGATTAGATAATTTAGGTAGAGCCAGACATGGAAGTGCACACCTATAATTCTGGTACTCTGGGAGCTGAGGCAGGAGGGTCACAAGTGCGAGCCCAGCCTGAGCAATTTAGTGACTAACCAAGACCTTTTTTCAAAATAAAAGATAAACAGGCTGGGAATGTCACTCAGTATGAAGGCCCTGGGTTCAATTTGAGTGGGGGAGAGGGGACACAGATAAGGTAAAGAAAAAGTGTCGGGGGGCTGTTAAAAATCAGTGAAATTCTCAGGCTGAATATGGTGGCACAGGCCTATAATCCCAGCACTCGGGAGGCTGAGGCAGGAGGATCATCATTGGAGGCTACATGGTGAGTTCAAGACCAGCCTGAACTGTGTAGTGAGACCTTATTTCAGAAAACAAACAAAAACTGTAAAATCCTGGATCCCTATTGCTTTGCAAGTCTCGAATCTTTCACCACTTTACATGCATTGAGGCTGAGAGTTATAAACAGCACAGTTATGACTAAATCTAGGCAGAAGACCCACCTTCAAAGAACAAGCCCTGATAAGAGAAATAACTGATGAATATACTCTGTAGGCTTTCTGGTAAAAATAAAAGATTGACTGGAGGCTGGCGGTGTAGCTCAGTGGTGGAGCATTTGCCTAGGATGTGCAAGGCCCTGGGTTCAACTCTAGCATCACAAAAATTAAAAAATAGCTAGGTGTGGTGGCACACGCCTGTGCTTTCAGGTTATGAGTCCAAGAATGCCTGTATTACAAAAACCAAACAAAGCTTTTTGGACGTTCCACTTAAAAGAATAAGCTTCTTTGGTTAGGGCCTATTAGGTAAAAAGGGCTTCTTTCTACTGGTCTGTGATTTTTATTCCATGGTAGAGCTTTTAAATAATAACATAATAATAACCTTACTCTTTGTAAGTCATAACAGTACTTTTTAATTTGCATGCATTCTCCTTGCCTAAGATCTATATAAAAATACCTCATTATATTTCATGTTAAACCTCAATTTTTGTTTTCTTCACAGAACATTCAGAAGATTCTTGGCCTTGCCCCTTCACGAGCTGCCACCAAGCAGGCGGGTGGATTTCTTGGCCCTCCACCTCCTTCTGGAAAGTTCTCTTGAACTCAGGGAGGACCTTTTAACTCCCATCGTTCTTTCTAGACATTCATGTCAGACTGGCAACTCTTTTATAGCAAGAGCTGTAGGGCCATCGTCTCCTTTTGAGTTGTTTCTCAGCTTTTTTTAATATGAGGCACCTAACAGGATATGCTTTTGTCATAGATATTTTTTTTAAAAAGTACACTAATTAGTTAAGTTCAGATGATTTTTATGTAGTTAAAAAACAAATCTCTTTCTTGCTTTGCTTATATTAATATTTCCTGAGGGAGACTCTCAAGCCTGTGTGTGCCATCTCCCGTGGAAGCTGACTCCCAGGAACACTGGAGAGCTAGAAGAAAAAAATTAATCTGCATCTCAACTTAATTGAAACTGTTTGTTATGTTTTTAAAGCCAAATCACTCAACATCAATAAAGAAGCCAAATTTCTAACTGTTTTGTCTATAAGGAGAGATCTGTTTCGTTTTGTTTTGCATATTTTTAGACAAGTTTTTAGTAATCTGAACATAAGGAAAAGCATTGGCCGAGAAGAGTTAAAGTAAAAGCTTTTTAAGTACTGTTTTACCATATTGCCTCGTATGCTCAGAATATAGACTTGTCCTAGGGTAGGAGTGGAGACTGGAAAGAAAGTAATGCTTCAGAGGAGTTTAAAAACAGGCAGCTCAGCAGCTCCCTGCACACCACATACTCCGCTGGGTACTGAGGGAGCTCCCGCACCTGCCCTGGCCACCGTCTCCAGTTACGAGGCATCTGGCAGAGTGGCCCCTTAGTCCCAGGGCCCTTCAGTGCCTACCGCACCCCTTAGTGAGGAGATGCGAGTAGGTTGCTCCTCCCCATGATCCACTGAATCCATCCTGTGTGGATGGTCACTTTTTTGACAAATATGTACATTCACCAGTAGTCTCCTCAGATGTGGGAATTGTGCCGGTGTGGAAAAATAAACATGTAATCCACAGAGTTGTAACTTAAACCAGCAGCAAACTTTTCATCAGCAGCCATCAAGGCTGAAAGAGTGGACAGTATCTCTAAGATACTTAGAATTTTATGCACAGCCAAGCCACAAGACTCGGGCCAAAATAAGGACATTTTCAGACACAAAATCTGAAATAAATGAATCATTTCGGAGACAGAAAAGAAGACCCACCAAAAGGGCAAGTGTAGGATACAAGAAACTAATCTAACAGAAATTGATAAAATATCTAATGGGTAAATGCAAGTGTTTGTTTGTTTGGTTTTTTGAGACAGGATATTGCTCTGTAGTTCAAGCTGGTCCTGAACTCACTGTCTAGCCCAGTCTGGCCTTGAACTCCTGGGAATCCTCCTGCCTCAGCCTCCTAAGTGCTAGGATTACAGGTGTGTGGCACTACGGCTGGCAAATGTAAGTGTTTTATGGATTATTTAGTTTAAGGAATATCTTAACCTTGTAATTTCTGACCTTACCTTCATTAACAGATGAGGAATAAGAGGCAGGAATGTTTATGTCACTTGCTCTGTGTCACATAGCTGGGGAGTGGCAGGATCAGGATTTGACCTCAGCAGTGTGAAGCTACGATGTTCTGGCTTTTGAGCTCTGCCATATGTGTGTGTACATATATATATATATATATATATAGTTGTGTTTTTTTGTTTGCTTGTTTGTTTTGGTACCGCGGATCGAACTCAGGACCTTGAGCTTTCGAGGCGGGTGGCAGCACCACTGAGCTGCATCCCCAGCCCCTCCAAGCTTTGCTATATTATCACCTCCGCATAAGTTTGTGGTGTTTCACTTCCGGTCCCCTTCTCTTTTTTCCACAGCTACACAGAGCTCACTGAAGTTATACTTCATCTTTCTTTTTTAAATCTGCTTTCTTAAAAGCAGTCAACATGAGTGAAGATATCAGGCTGTAAGACCAGCTCTTGGGAGGCTGAGGCAGGAAGGTCACTCATTTGAGGCCAGCTGGGACAAAATAGCAAATATAAGGCCAGCTTGGAGTACATAAGAGTCTCTCAAAAAACAGATGGAAACCTGTACATGTGGCACAAGGCTATAATTCCGCACTTTAGGAGGCTGAGGCAGGAGAATCATAAGTTTGTGTCCCACCTGGACAACTGAATGTGACCCTGTCTCGAGATGATAAAAAGAGGACGAGGGAATATAGCAAGGCTCTATGTCCAATCCCCAGTGCCAGTAAAGTCTATTTTGAACTTTTTTTTTTTTTTTTTTTTTGGCACCAGGGATCTAACTCGGCAGGTGGCTGAACCACTGATCCAAATCCCTGTCCCCTTTTGAAGTTCCTTTTATCAGGAGAATGTTTGATAATGGCTGAGAGTGACTTGTGTCTTCTTAATGATGTTTTCTCTGTGTCACTGAAAGACCGATGATGAAGAAAAAGCTGCTCATTATGCAGTGACAGCAGCTGGACTACTATCTAACATAAAGTAGATCAACACTTGGGAGGCTGAGGCAGGAGGATCGCTGTGAGTTCGAGACCAGCCTGGGCTACATAGTGAGTTCCAGGTCACTCTCAACTACATAGTGAGACCCTGTCCCAAAAAAATAAATAGAAAAAGAGCAGGGCCCACTCTCAAGGTTCTGCCATCATGTCTGGTGAGGCCATAGCCTCCTGTCACCCACACCCCGAGGGTCAAAGCTGCTGTTTTCTAAGAATATTCTTTGTGGATTGTACTTCCAGGGTAAAAAGAGGAAAGGGAAAAGAGAAGGCAGAAATACCATCTGTCTACTATATTTACTGCAGCAAGGCACTTTACATAGAAGGAAAGCTGCCCTTCACTGGGGTCAAATTCAAGGAGAACGGGGTCCGCTGCAGACTCTCACAGGCACTTCCTGTAAATGAAAACATTCCAAGGCCAGTTGCTTCTGAGGCTTTAGATCCAGACCATCAGGAATTGTTGGAGAGGACGTGTCAAGCCAGAGGCCTCCGAACAGCTCTCAAAACACTGATCTGACTGCTCTTAAAGGGGAAAACCTGTAGCCGTTATTAATGTCTATGTTAGGCTACTTAAGTTGCACTCATAATTTAATAAAGTGGTAGACTTGAAAGTGCAAATTAAATGCAGGCAAGCCTGAATTTATTAACAGATTGTGTTTCAAAAGTTAAGTTAATTTGAAAATTAGAATCGACATGGCGCATGCCTGTAACCACAGCATTTAGGAGGCTGAGACAGGAGGGTCACCCCAAGTTCAAGACCAGCACACCTGCAGTCCCCATACTCAGTTCAAGGCTACCCAGGGGAACAGAAAAACCCTTTCTCAAAAATAAAAAGGAGCAGGGTTCAGTATCAGAAAAAAGTTTTAAAAAAGCATCTTGTTCTATACCTAGGATGTTGTAGGTTTTTGTTTTGTTTTTTGTTTTTTGAGATAGGGTTGTGCTGTGTAGTTTAGGCCGACTTTAAATTTGTGATCCTCTGGCCTCAGTTTCCTGAGCTGGGGTTCCAGGTGTATACCGTCGTGCCCGATTTACTGTAGGCTTTTGGAAAAAACATATTTACACTTATTTTGTGTTTTTGTGGTTTCTTTTTTTGTATTGGGGATCGAACTCAGGACCTTGAGCTTGCGAGACAGGCAGCAGAACCACTGAGCTAAATTCCCAGCATTATTCTGTGTATTTCATTGCTGTCCTTCAAATAAAATTATTACATACTTTTTCCCTTGTTGAGATTAATTCTGCTTAACTTACAATGTTTAATTTATTCTTGTTTTGAGTTTTTAATACTTTTTTGGATAATGAAAAATCCCCAAAGTACATGAAGATTAAAACAAATATATAAAGGGTCGGCGGTGGAGCTCAGTGGCTGAGTACTTGCCTAGCAGGCCCAAAGCCCTGGATTCTAGTAAGTGCCCCCCCTACAAAACAAAAACAAACAAACAAAAAAAATGGAGGTGGGGAGGAGGAGGAAAGGGAGGAAGAGAAGACTGCTAGGCTAGGATGACTACCCATCATCCAGCTCCTGGACTTTGAACTCGTGTTCACTGTGGCGTCATCTGTGTTTCTATCCCCTTCTGACTTTTTATTTGTTTATTTAGTGATACTGCAGATTGATCCTAGAGCCTTCATACTAGGCGACATTCTAGCCTTTTTTAATGTTTTATTTTGAGACAGGGTCTAACTAGGTTGCTAAATTACCTACCTGACCAGTCAGACTTTTGATCCTCCTGACTTAGCCTCCCAATGTACACAGGACTGCAGGTGTGTGCCGCCATGCCCCACTTTCGCCTTTTATAATATGAAATAGATTCGAAACATACAATTTATCTATAAATATTTCAGGGATTTTAAAGATACATATTTTTAAAAACCCCAAAACTGAGTACCATTATACTGTGAAAATTGACAATAGCAATAATTCCTTGGTATCATAAGTTGTCAATAGATTCATTTTACAGTTGTGTTAGGACCAGAAGCCAAATAATTCACCCAGGCTGCAGCAGACTGTTGTGCTTCTCTCACCTCTGAATCTGATGTGGTTCTCACTTGAGATCTTGGACACCTGCAGGGCAGTACCAACTTCAAGGCCAGACCCCGAGTCTGATCTGCCCACCTCCAGTGGAGCCCGAGGGTCTGTGTCTCACATGTACCTAGCTGGTGCTGATGCTGCTGGTATGGGATCAACTCACAGTGCTATGATGGTTTGTTTTTTGGTACTGGGTACTGAACCCAGGGCCTCCTGTGGTGCTCCTACCTCAACCTCCTAAGTGGCTGGGATTACATGCACGTACCAGCGTGTCCAGCTCTCAGTTCAGATTTTGCTGATGATGTGTGTGTCTTAGTTACTTTTCTTGTCGCTGAGACAAAATATCCTACATTCAAAGGAGGAAGGTTTCAGTTCATAGTTGGCTGGCACCAAGGCAGGGTGGCATGGCAGAGAGGCATTGCAGAGGAGAAACAGCTCATGGAGGACAGAAGGCAGGAACACAGCAAAGTAGTGAGCAGCAAGCAGCCACAGCAGCCTCTCTCCCTTCTAGCCGTGCTACATGCCCTTAGGAGGGTAGCACTCCCACTCAGGGTGGGCCTTTCCATTATCCATGCTCAGAACTATGCCAAACTGAACAGTGGACTAATTTAGTAATCACACTCGTAATCCTAACAACACACACTTGATCCAGCCACCTCTGAAAAAGCCCCACCTATGACCTCATGAGGCTTTAGGGGGATATCTAGACAACCCACAACATCTTGTTTGGTAGTCCTTTTTTGTAACATTAGCAGGTTTTTTTTGTTTTTTTTTTTTTTGTACTGGGGATCAAACTTGGGACTTTATGCTTTCGAGGCAAGCGGTGGAACCACTGAGCTAAATCCCCGGCCCAGTTTGGTTTATTTTATTTTTGTTGTTGTTGTTTTGTTTTGTTTTCAGGCTGACCTTGAACTTTAAATAGCTCAGGTTGACTGAGAAGTCATGGTGATCGTCCTGCCTCTGCTTTCCTAGTATTGGGACTACAGGTGTGAG